GAAAAATGGTATAGACTGTGGAGCGGAGAGGGGGTCGGTGATATATTAGTCCCACAAGCAGCCATCAAAGCCAGTAAAGGACCGACCCTGCGGAACCCTATGCAAAAGTTTCATTTGCTAAAACACAACTCTTTCAAACCACTTTTAAAAGGCCTTTCAAAGAAATTGAAAGGAAAAAAAAATCTGATATTTTTCAAAAAGGAAGAAAACTCCCTCCTCTTTTCTCCTCACATTATGCCACAATTTTGTCAGTTTTTGGCTACTGATTGAGAGTGATCACCATCCTTTAGTCACCTTTCATTTGTCTTGGCTTCGTCTACCCTATCCCCCTACTGTATTATTATTTATCATTAACGATAAATATAACTGTAATTGTTTCCAAGTGGATTTTCACAATCTTTGACAAAATGGTTTGGAAAGATAATGTATTTGGGTCCTCAATTTTTATCCGGGGTCCCATAAAACGTGTTGAAAGAAAGCACATTAAGTTTAAAAACTTCAAAAATAGCTGGACATATGATGCACATGAAGATGCTTTTAGCCCTATAGCTACCTCCCCATTTCGAACTCTATAATATATTATAATATTGTTCTTTAAATTCAATTCAAAATATATTCATAGGAAAAAAAAAAGAAAAGAAAAGAAATGAAGAAAGAAATATCTAGCAAGAGGGTGGTCCATATTTTGATATATAATTTGGTAAATGACAATAATTAAAGTAGGCAATACATATTGATTTAGGAATATAGTTGTACACCACATTTGTAGCTTAATTATGAGAATAAATTAAGCAATCCACTAGGCATGGATTTAGTTTGATAAAGATAAAACTTATGAAAAATGTGTTTAAGGTTGCTAAATGGATGTCTCAACTAATAAGTATGAAATTCTAAATTAGAATTTTCATATTTCCTTTGAAATGAGAGAAAATAGATTAAAAAATAAATAAAACGATTCCTTTTTATATAATTAATTAGATGTACCAAAAAAATGGGACTTACTTAACAAATATAATTATCTTGAAGTTTCAAAGTTTGAATAAATATGGATGATCCCACGATATATATCATATACACTCGCGCTTCATGTCCAAGTTGAATAGTATTTTTATAATAAAATGAGGCCACAGGGAATTATTAGAACGTCAAGATATTGCACAAGGCAAAGGCAGTTAGGGTCCCTATATAACAAATTTAAAGAAGGTTGAATGATAAAATTTCCAACTGTTTGGCCGTCCTTGAAGGACTTTATTTGCATGAATATTTTGACTTGTCTAACCATAGTTGATTTCAAAGAAAATAAAAAAGTAGTACTAGTTTGGTGTGACAGGGACAATGTACTACTTCCCTCAAACCTTATGAAATCAATTAATCCATTCAATTTAACATTGTGTCATTTACTGAAAATTAATTTATATTACGTATGTACTAACTCTAAAAATTATATATACATCAATAGAGAACTAAAAACCAGGAGTTCAAATTGTATCATGTGTATATATACGTGTGTGACGGAAAGCATGCAATGTTCTTATAAAAGAAAGAACAAACCCAACGTCAACATGCAATAATGTTAGTTCCACTAATCTTAATCAATGAAAATTTTACTCCAATCAAACTAAAAGAGCATAATTAGATGAATAATTTTAGAGGAGAGCGGCCCAAGTTCCAAAAGAGATTGATTTTTGATGAGGTGGAGTGGGGGCTCATACATCTTCTTTTGATGAACTCCTCATGATGCCAAGTAGAGCGGCCTCCTAATCAATTACAAGGCGCCATGTGTCTCTCTTTTTCTGTAAAAAAAAAGAAAAAAAAAACGTGGGCCTTTTTAGGTTCTCATTTCTCAATGGAAAGTGGGTTTAAGTACCACTAAATATTCAATGACCTTATCATAACATGTTTCTACTTTGCCCTAAGTTATCAGTACTATTTCTTTTACTTACATTACATGCGTGCTCTTTTTGGTTCAATTGGACTGGTAGGTGTCACGGGTGAGTGTAGTGTTCATTGTTGAAAAAACAAAATTAATAAATTAGTCTTTTATATTCAAGATGTCAATATTTAGAACATATATATGTTATGTCTTAGTTGAGGTCTCCTCAATATATGGTATTAAAGCAGATGAGTGTGATTCACTTATGGATTGATGGTCATGGACTTCTTTTTATATATTTTTTAGATGTATTTTTATCTTCTTTACTTTTTAAATTTATCTTTAAAATGATGATCACGGTTCACAATTAAGGAATAATATAAACGAAAGAAATACGGAAGGCAAGCTTTTGAATTTCTTTGATGGTCTGTACGTGTGAACATTTCAACAGTAGTTTAAGGGAGCATACTTTGATTATTATTTGTTTAAAATAGTGGCCATGCTTGTCATTAAACTTTTATTTTGATCAGATACATTTCCTAATAACTCTTTAGACCTTATTGAGGAGAAAGTTATACTTTTATCAACTATTTTTTCGACCACCTGTCCATTGTAAGGGTCCAAAATAAACCCTTTTCTTCCAAATTTAAAGTAAGAAAAAATAAAAAGGAAAAGGAAAAGGAAAAGAAGATAGTATTAAAAAGTTGGAGAAAGAAATAATGTTTCTCTTGTCTATAAACACAATATTACTTTAACCCAAGAAAAGTTTTGTACTTTAATAATAACACACGGCTGATCCGGCTGAAGGTAAGAATATAAGTACTCCAAGTTAGAGGCATTAGGATTAAATTTTTAATTGTGTGTAGAGAAATTAGAAAATGGAAAGAGTTATCTTTTGTTGTAATTAACTTTGTATGCTTCAAAACATTAATAGTAAAGGGACCTAATAACTTGTGGCTTAGCAAGTAAAGAGGTTTATATTTCATTTTATTGATCAAGATTCAATTCTTTAGAAAGGCTATTGAGAAGGTAACCTTCATGAATTTCCTAGTTTTGATATGGATGACTTGTCACTGATTGGATTCATGAGAGATTATATTCGACTTATGTAAACTGACCCAATGACACTCTGGTTGTTAAAAATATAATAGAAGATCAGTTATTAATCTTGACGTAGTTAATAATGGTTTTCCCTCTCTTGCTCAAATTCCCTCCCAACTTTCCTGCTTCTCTTTCCTTTATAATCGTTGCCTCTCTAATTCCCCTTAGTGGTGGGGAGAACGAAATGAATAACGATGGAAGTTTCTCTCTCTTTTCTAGAGGGTTCTTTCATCTCCGATTTTTGGGGTCTTTTCGTGGTCTCTCTTGATGACATTCATTGGTTTTGCCTTGATTTGAAGAGGATGGCAACGTGGTGGTGCTAGCTAGGCTTGAACTGGTTGCAACATTTACTTTGGCTATTGGTGGCATGGTCAAGAGGTTGATGAAGGCTCAAATTCTCTTTTGGATTAATTTTAGCATGACTTTAGTGATGCATGGAGAAGGCTCTTAACTCCCCTCTAAATTAGTGCATCTCCTCTTTGTTATGACATTTAGTAGTGGGTGGGTTGAGACTATTATTTGTTGAACTACCTACTCTCCCTAAGAAACTACCATAGCAATTAAGAATGTTAAATAGTTCAGGATTCTTATAATGACTCTCTTTCTACGTTAATAGCTTTGCTTATACCCTTACAACAATTGTTATTATAATCTCATAGGTGTAGATTGCTATTGTCTATATCTATCATGAGTATATTTTCATTTTTAATATTGATTTTGTTATTTTAAGATAATCTCTACTTCTTATAAAAAATAATAATAATTTTAATTTTGTGAAGGATATACATGATCCTCAATTTAGGTAGGATTGTTCAAACCATATGTTCTCTGTTGTCAATTGGTCTCACTATTTTTCGGAAAAGGAAGGCAATATGTCTGGGGACAGCTTTAAGCCTTTAACCTTTTGGAATGGCATACAATGCAAGTCCTGTTTGGTGTTTTTTCTTCCCCTCCTTAAGTGCAAGTTAATTTGTCTTGTTGTTTGTGCTGTGTCCCATAATATGCCTATCAACAAGCAATTCAATAAAAATAATCTCTACTTTTGTTTAGAGTGGGACCCCATTCTAGATTTGTTTTAGGCTCCTCTCATACTTTGGTATTTGCTTTCCCTAAATCAAGTTAGACTCGTTAAACAGAGTGCAAGAAGTTCGAAAGAGAAGGTAGGAAAAGAGAACGCATTTTACACAAAATAAAGTATGGTTTTGATTAATTAAGCAACAAATCTAAATAAAGGGAACTAAGTGATTTTTTTTTTTTTTTTTTTGTATTAAGTTTACTTCTCTGATATGGTTGAAGGGAAAAACACATATATATAATTGTAATTCTTCAAAAAAAATTAAATGGATGAGCACTTAACCTATATATATACATACATTACGAGATGAGAGAATTTGTTTAAATTTTCTTCTTATGGTCTCTTTCTTTAAGAATCAAATCTTGTACGTTTTGTTAACAAAACCAATTCTTTAGGAGATCATTTTCTTGAAATCAAAGTATGGAACTTTCGAAACCAGTCTCTTTGGTATTATTTTTTATTTTTGAAGTTTTAGTTATGATCATAAGCTTGATAAAAGGTGAATTTGAATATCGACTTCGTTGGTCAAGATATTCCCTTAAAATGGGTTGCATATTTGGAATCCAACATAGCCAAAGGTACAAACTTGTTCTCTTATGGTGAATTTCTTTTTCATTCCCTTTTCTTTTGAGTGAAAAATGACAAAAATTGTAATTTTTCAAAAAATTTTCATGGGTGGGAAAAATGTTTCTTTGATCCCATCCTTTAAAAAAAAAAAAAATACAATAAAAACAAGAGAAAAGACCCCACGTGTGGAACAGAATTTGGAGCATATGCAATGTCTTGAGTTATCCATATTTAGCTTTATGTGGATGTTGGGGCTCTCCTTGCTTGGGATTCCTACACCTTTTGATATTTGAATCACCTTTTCAAGGGCTTAGCTAGGGCCAGGATCTTTCCCTTCACTTCACTTCCTTTTCCTCCATATCTTTTCTACTAACCACGCGCTTGCTAAAAGTAAAAGGTTTATGGAATCCTATGCTTTCATGCATGTATATCAAATTTGTTATTTAACATGTTAGTCTTGCTTGTAACAGAATTAGTTCCATCACCTTTGTTGATCAAAATGTGATTTCTAGAATAATTTAAGAAATGTGATTGCTTGTAACTCTAAATTCCCAGCATAGATGAGCTGTCATTGATCAGATCTAAGAGAAGTTAGCATCTAAACTATTAGAAAAGGTGTGCTTTTATAGACTATGCTCAAGTTTGAGCTGAAAATGACATTTTTATCCTTAATGAATCAGTCATACATAAAGATTCATCAAAGGCAAAAATGTCTTTTCAAGCCTAGACGGTCAATATTCCCTACGAATTTGGACTATGAAACATCAAACTCATAATATATTATTAAAGAAACTAAATGATACAATACAAAAGAAAACTATATATTCCCACCATCGTTTTGATGACCAGATTCCCTTGTTTTATGATTGGTCTTTGGTACATAGGACAATCAAATGGCAAAGGGACAACCCTCTGCCCTAAATTAGGGCTTGGTCAATAACACCCATTTGACTACATTATATCCCGTTCAAATGCCTAATTAAACTAATGCCCCCATCATGATATATAGTAATAGTATAATGCTCTCTTTGCCTCGTTTCCTGCCATTATTCGTATCGATGTGGTATGCTCTAGAACTAATCAAAATTCTGTATGCTGATGCACTGTTACATTAATTCTTATGCATGTATAATGGTAATGGATTTTTGTGCTTACCAGAAAAAAGGCAACACAGCCTGAAAAGAGGGAGCTGGCAAAGGGGGAATATTTGAAGAAAGTTTTACATTCAGCCATCCTAAGATGGGTCTCACTCTTTAGCAACTTTCAATAAAGATGTGTTTACAGGGTAGCCTTGCCTCATTTCTGAGCAGGCCCTTCTATCGGCAAATCAAGTATATGTAGCAACCATGACTTGACACCACATGCCCTCCTCTCAGAAAACAACTTCAACTTCTGCTTTTGCAGAGGAAACCACATAAACAATTAGACAAATATAAAGCTAAAAGAATAAGTGCAGCCAAAATGGTCAAAAGTTCTAATGAATTGGTAAGTGGTAACCCCAGTTTCAGTATCTCTTTATGCCATGAGGTTGGTCCAGTTTTCTCCTTTTCTTTAACTCTGCCCGAGTGCATAGACAATTGGTAGGCAAAGCATGGGAGATGGGACTAGGAATGAGCATGAATCCAGATATGTCTGTCAGTGCCAGCTTATTTCAGGCAGAAGTCTAAATCATACCAACAAAAATCTGGTCCATCTGTGGACAACCCTTTAATTCCTTTTACTTTCACAATGAACTTAATTAGAGTACTTCAGCTGGTAACTTTGTCAATAATTCTACAATAAGCTCTTAAGTCCATAACCTAAGATCCATGTGACAGGACTCAAAGGTAATGTCAAGCTTGCACATGGGGAGGGCAAGTTAAAGGAAAATCTTATATCAATAAAATAAAAAAGAAGCATGCAAATTAAATACAAGAAAAGACTACTTCACTTACTACTAATTGATTTTAAGTTGATACAAGCCTTGTATTGAAATTCACACACCCAAATTTCACATAAGCGAATTTTGAACTAGATCTTGACAGCAAATATATCATATGTGTTAATCTCCTTCTTCAGCCTAAAACATCTGCATAAACCAGTCAACTTCATACAACTTATAAAAAGAAGGATAATACAATGCATATGGGAAACTTCTGAGAAAATTTCAGTTATCTCACCATGGACCAGTTGATCAATCATAAAAATCAGTCCCCACATGTTGCACATTTAATAAAACTATATATGACTACATATTTCTTTATAAATGGTTATTCAAGATGCTTGTACAGACATGCTTAAGTGCAGATGAAAGCAACTGTAGGACACACAAGGATGAGAAAATAACCATGTAAGATTTGACATGATTTTCACATTGGTTTCTGTCTGATTCTAATGAGTAAATCCCAGAGTTCCATACAGAATTATACCACTGAGGTAGCAGTTCAAGTGTCTTTCCATTTTTAAACTTTCATGTAAATGATTCAGCTTCAAACCTGTTGAGAAGCTTGCACTGATACATACCCCTTTTTTACTAGCAGTTGCATTTAAGTATTAATTATGGTGCCTCTCTTCTAATGGAAGCATATGCGCCTTTGGTACCTATTTGAATCCAAATTTAAGTACACAACAGGGCCAAACTTCACCATCTTTTCTATTTGGGCTACAGCCATGTTGAGCCCAAGTCAAATCAACAAATTGAGATTTCTTATTTTAATCGCATGTGAAGATAGATATATTTCATTGTATAAAGTAAAAATAAGAGTTCAGAGTATCTACTACTGCTACTGTCCAAAGGAGTTTTGGCATGATTCATGTTAGCAAATTTCAACATGTTTACCTCCTCACTGAACAAGGGCATATAAGTAAGTAATTGCGGGAAATATCACTGTGATGACACTCTGCAAGGGTGCCAGTGTTCAGCATGAGCACTACAAATCAACAATCCTGCAAATATTTCTAACATTATATACATGAATGACAGTTCTTGATGGATTACATAATCCAAGAGGAACATCCCTAAGAACATTTACAAATATTATAATGTGGCTTGCTCCAATATTCTGCTAGTGATAAGAGATTCTGATGGCAGAGCCTCCAGATTTTGCAGGGGTTCTTGGTACCATGAAGTGCAAAGAAGAAAAAATGTAATTTTATTTTCGACTTCATGAACATAAGTCATTTGAAGACTATAGTTTTGGTGTTGTCAGATCCTTTAGTTAAAGATCTAATTCACATATCAGGGATAAAGCCACTTGCAAAGTGGGTTAATTAAAACAATTAAATAAATGAACAAGATCTCCAAATTTCTTGCATTCACAACTTGTTCTAACATGGCGTCCTTACTCCAATCTTATTTTTGTTATCATTTTGTTTCTCTTCAAGCAATGTTGAACTCCTAAGTGGCAAGCAATCTCGTTTACAAATCAACTCAAGTCTGCTGTTAGCTCCATCTCAAGTCCCTTTAATATAATATAAAAGACTATTGGCTCCTAAAACACAAATACATTAAGAAATTAATCAAGTCAATTAATTATACATTTTTGTACCCTAAGTTCCGTGACAAATCTCAATATATGTAAAAGGACCTCTATGATGATCAAACTACATCATCTATAAGTAACATTGTCAACCCAAAGTACCTGATATAAACATGATTGTATGGTTATAAGTGGTAAATTATTCAGCTGGATTCATTTTGTGTAAAACTTCAACAACTAGAAACGGTTATCAAAAGGATGAACAGTAAAATGTTAGGCAAATGCAGATTTTGTTTCCACCTAACATTTTGAGAAATTTCTCAAAGGGGTAGGCAATTCTTGAGTCCCCTAGGCTAAAGGATGTCCCATGATTTAAGAGATCTTAGGTTAAAATCTTGGGATGGATGAGAAGAGGTTTGGGAAAGAGAGGGTTACCAAGAATTTTTTAAAAACACGGGCTTATAACCATTCATCTACCACAGATATTTCCTCTTTTTGTTATCAGTGTTCTACTACATTCTCCATCTAATCAAAGGAATCAAAATCACATTACTCTGCTACATAGTACATGGTCTCACACACACACACACACACACACACACACAAAAGAACCATAAACACATCAAACTGTGTGAAAAAACCAAGTAATATGCATCGTTCTTTCACCTTTGCTTGAATATAGCCAGCAAATCATTTCAAGGCAAGAGCTACCAATGACAGAAATAGTGTCTACTTCCAATTACCATGGGACTAAAATCTATTTGGATCTCCTGACAATAATTCTTAAATTATTTTAAACTATGATGCTAAACTCAATCACCTCATCATATATCTAAAAAAATGTCACCATGAATGGTAGTGGGAAATTTGTATTCGGCTACAAACAATTTCCGACCTTAAATTTAATCCAACAATTTCTCACATAATCAAAGAAGTGGAAATATAAACAAAATTAGTTTCAACACATTATCTTCACAAGGAAACCAAGAATAAGTTGGCAAAAAAAAAGATAGAACCTTTACATACCTCTTCAAGGAAAGAAGATTTACTCAAAACCCTTTAGGCCCTTTTTCCTTTAATACCACAGGCTTCTCAGCCATAGCTAGACAGTACTTGGCAATTTCTCTAAACTTGGGCACACTCCTAAGATCCACCTTAGTTCCATCCTTCAAGGTAATGACAATATCACCCCATTCACCCACAAATCGCGGCACCACTTGCACGTCCTTGATCACTTTGTAAGAGAAATCGCTCCGGTCCTGACCCGTCAACCCGGAGATAACCGTCACCCGCAAATTGGTGAATCTGTATCTCAAGTAAAAAGCCCTTGATACGGCAGCCAAGGTTAACGGCAGCCACAGGAGCGTGAAACCCAGAAGCAGGTTCGCTATAAGGTCGCCATAGTGGGCGCCGCCATCGAAGAAGATGGTTTCTTCTTTGGGGTTGGCGGCAGTAGCGAGGGGTTTGTTGGTCGGAGAGGACACGTGGAGCCTTGTGGAAGTAGTCAGTCTGCTGTTATTAGAAATTGGACCAAACAGGATGTTACGGAAGGAGAGTTTGGAGGAGAGATGAAGAGATTGGTGGGTAACAGATGCAGCGGTGGGGGTGGCGGTGGCGGTGGCGGCAGGCGAGAGAATGAAGGTAGAGGCCATGTTATCCGTTAAGAGATGGTGGGAAAATGAAATGTGGTTGTTATGTTGGTTTTTTGGCTGGTCGCATTTTTGCCACGTGGCATATTAAACCCAGTTAAATCAGCTCTAAAATTTTGAATTATTTGCAAAATAGTCCTTGTCTTCAACTTTTTGTTATGGGAGATCCTCGACCTCTTAAAAACTTAATAATAAAATACTTTTTTTTAATCATTTCTATCGTTAATTCAGTTTCATTTAGAATAAAAGACACTTAAATATAATGTAACTTAGGGATAGGCGGGTTATAAATGAATCTTGTTATTTGTTAACTACTCAAGCTTTGTTTGAAAATAACCCTACTAGGTTCAAGTTTATTTAACAAATGAGTTAAGTAGAACTTAGGCTTAAACTCGTTAATGTAATAATCAAGCTCGATCCAACTTTTAAAGAAAACCAAATGATAAGTTTGTGTGCAATTATATAAATGAATATAATGATATATTTTATTATATATTAAATAAAATTATAACATTACCGTTTTACTCTAATAATCCAATTTATAAAATAAAATTATCCTTAAAAATTTTTAGACATTCTCAAGCTTGCACTCACTACACTTAAATGATTTTGTGGAGTGGAGTTGGAGCTTTACTTTTATAAGCTCAACTAAAGCTTCAGCTCAATTTATAGGAGTTAAAGCCAAACTTGAATACTACAATGCTAATCATTTATAAAGTTTTATGCAAAGAATTTGTATAAGATTCTATATTCATGAACTAACCAGGATGAAAGATATACTAAAATTAAGAAAAACAAGTGTATATATACAGAATAAAATGGATCAGTGTCTTCTCAAATGCTAAATTATTAACTTTTTATACTTTTTTCTTGAGTTAGAATGGATTATAAATGTGTCAAAAGGTTAAAGCCTCAATGACATGTTTGGAGTACAAGATTGGATTGAATTAGATTAAATTTATAAGGTAGGATTAAATTGGATTAGATATATAGGATGTGACTTTTTTAATCCAATCTCATGTTTGCTTAACTTTTGGGATATAGTGGGATTAAATATAAATAATTGTTTATTTGGGCAAAAATACCCTTACTTTATAATTAAATATGATTAAATTTAATTTAATTGTAGTTTTTTTATATATATTTTACAATAATTTGTTAATAATAAAATTAATTGAAGATGGAAAAAAAAAAAGAAATTAATTATTGTTAATTATTAATTAATTAGACAAATTAATAGCATGACCAATATTTTCCTTTCTTTTCTTGGGTACCGAACAACCCAACCAACAAATAGATACCAAAAAATCCTCTATTTTCCACTAAAAACAAATTTGATTACACATATATTTAAATTCGTCAAAAATAAACTACAAAAGAAGCAAAAAAATCCAACGAAATTTTTGAATTCCATTAGATTTGGTTCAAGTCTCCAAACCAGATGGAAATAGAGGAAGGAAGGAGGAGGAAGAAGAGAAGGAAGAAGAAGAACCAGCATTAGGAGGAATAAAAGTGGCAAGAAGAAGATGTACTCCAATTAACGGCTGTTAACGGTGGTTCAGGAAATAGAGGAAAGAAGGGGGAGGAGGAAGATGAGGAAGGTGAGGGAGAAGAATAAGCAGCAAGAACGGAGAAGATTTTGGCGTTGACACCATGTACAATTCCGACATTGTCTAGTTTGTAAGACAAGATAAAAAGGGTATAAAATGAAAATCAAATCTTATCCCATCTCACCCCGTGAGAGATGGGAGATACATTTTATCAAATGAACTTAGGATTGGATAAAAATAGGATGATAATTATCTTGTCCTCTAACTCCACAGGAAAACAGTGAGACTAGATGAAAATTTAATCCCATCCCATCGTTAGTCTAGCACTCCAAACGAGTTGTAAGGGATTAAGAAACCAATTGCTCACTTAAAAAAGTTTGAGGGTGATTCTGCAGACAACTCTAAAGATTGATAATTGAAACGTAGTTAGCCGTTAATACCAATTATAGTACAGTATTTATTAGTATTTTTTATGAATTATTATTATTATTTATCATTATAAAATGAGGGGAAAAAAATTGCACACATCCAAGAAAACTGGAGAGCATGTAGTGTTTCTGCGCCTAACGGCTCGGTCAATGGCCAACAGGCAAAATTCTACTGTCTTCAATCTTTTCATTAATTTCTCCATTCTTTCCCAACTCAATTTCTTCCTCAGAAAAAAGCATTTTCTTCAGTAATTTGATCTTTGGTAAGATGTGAATGTGAATAAATATTTGTCTATCTACCCATATTTGCCTCCAAAGTTGTATCTGCAGAACCCAATATCTTGAAATTTTTAGCAAATGAAAGAATTAATTTGTTTGCCAACTTTGAGTTCGACAGTTAGTATTTAATTTTCTAATTATGTTTTGGAACTAAAAATTTCGCCTTTAATCTCTAAACTCCAACCAAGAAGAATTTTTCACCGTCCAGAACTCTTTAGTCGTGAAGGTGGGTTCCAGAACCTTGCTATATTCTGCATCTTTGCAAGCCTTAAAGTTCCAGAACCTTCTTCGCTTCTGGTTGTTCATAACTTTCTTCGAGTAATTCAAGGCACATTCCCAACATGAGGAATATAGAATTAGATGTTCCCTTGGTTTCAATGAAATGATTTCATTTTTCTGTTTCTTTCTCAGAAAAAAACAATCCCAGTAATTTTTTCCTATACTTGCAGACGAATGAATTTCTCTCATTACTGCAATCAAATGTATCACTAAATTTACTTTTTGGATATTCACATGTGTGAGGTGTAACTATTCTTGTTAAGATAGGAATGCAATAAGCTATTCACACTATTTAGCTTGCGTTTTTACATTCATATTGATCGTAAATATTATTGTACTTAGAATATTCTCTATGGATATATGGCTATGCACTGGCTCTAGTATAAACAGTAGTAATCAAGAAAGCAATAACTTTCTTTGCATTTTCTTCTCTTCTTCAGTTTCTAGCAGTTCTATATATGTATTAAAAAACAGTTCTATATCAAAAAGATGCAATGAGAATATGACAAAATATAAAAGTGGAGACCCATGAACTGTTCCTTTTTTATTCTAACTTGAGGTCTGAAGTAAATGATTTGGAAGCTATATATTTGAGACCCATGTACAATTGCCCACTTTAAAAGAAAAGAAAAAACATAAAAAATGCATTGTGCAATGAATTAATTTGCATATATATATGCACGCCAATCAATAGAAAAGTGGAACAAAACCTGTAAAGCTAGGTTGATAATTAGTATGTCAACTGTCAGCCAGAGTTCCCCCAAACACTTCAGTAGGGCATGGCATGGGAAGAACCCCAGTGAAGTGGTCAGGGGAACTCCAGGGGACAGCTGACCCTCCCTTGATTTCTCTCTGTATCTATTTTTTACAGCCATGCTAAATTGCTAATTCACACGGTACAAGGATTGTCTGCTATATATAGGCAAGCATCCTGATGCTAGTTATATTGACACAGTTCAGGAATGAGGTTTGGAAGGAAGAGTTTTGAAAGATATCATTGAATCTGGCCGCACGGACAGCCACAAAAATGGTGGAGCTGAACCTGGTCACTATTTGGGTGAAGGTGAATGCTAGAGAATAATGGTAGCAAGTTGTTCATAAGCTTTCTTTGTTTCTTTCCAAGCCTTTTCTTTGCTTTTTGTGAGAAATAATTGGTCTAAACATTCTTCCCTTAGCCTCTCATATTACAGATCCTGGATAGAAGTTGGTGGTGTGTTCATGACAGTGACAAAAGCTGAAGAGGAAAGGAATGGTTGAAAAAAATGATTTGAGTGAAAAATGTACAACACAAGACAAATGGACACAAAGAGAGCTATTGCTTTTATATGTCTATTCTTTCCCATAGCCCATTGTTGCGTCTAGATTCACTTTCCCAGAGAATTTTTCTTCGTTTTCTTGTTTTGAGATGCAATAACCATGCATTCAGATATATATGTAGAGGTAATTAATAGAATTCAATCATGACAATTATTGTCAGTGGGGGTTTAAGATCATGATCGTGAGAGTTTAGTTGCTGTCTATTCTTCGATGTAATCTTGGGTTTCAATAAATCTGAACCATGTAACAATGACTGCAGAGATGAAAAAGAATAAATTAACCAATGTTGCATTCTGCAGCAGAACAGAGGAAAGAGGGGGAAACCTTTTGCAAAAACTGGTTTTATTCCTTTTCCATTATCAATTTATCAGGCCATTCTAGATACATGATAGAAAGACAATGGAAATAGTGACTCTATCTGTGCAAGAACCTATCCAGTTGGGGAGTTTACGTGTGACTCTGAAGTCTTATATTAGGATGATAATTAAATAAGTTGAATATATATGAAGAGACCATGAACCTAACAAGCTAGTCTTTTGGTTTAATATCGTGTCTGAAGCATATATATATTAGGCCTTATCCGCGAGCTACAACTGGTCTCCCAACAAGAACTTAATACATACAACATGGCATAGCTTAACATAGCAATTAGCATCAAACTAAACCTTCCAAAGTTTAGATTGCTCTTAAAAAAATTGGATGACTAAAACCAGCGGATAAACCAAACTATATTTTAACAATCCCTTTTTCTGTTTCATATCATGTTTCTGGAATGTAAATTTTAAATATATGGAAAGGGTGTGACTATTAAGACGGGGTGTGGAGCTTTTATGGCCATTTATGTTTTACCCAGCTGCCCCCCAAACATTCTCTAGCCATCACCTATTCCACAATTCTGACCAGATTCAAGAATGACAACACTGCAGATACGTGCAGAATAAAATTCCATCACCTCTTATGGTCCCCCCATGGAAGCCCACAAGTTTCCATCTATATGCATATTGTATGGAATTTTCCCTATAAATAGGTGTGGTTTGGTTTGGTTTGCAATCCCCAAGTAGCAGCTAAGAGAAAATGTCAGCTGTCTGCTGGAGTTCCCCTGACCACTTCACTGGGGTTCTAAGGGAAACACGGTAACTTACCCTACTGAAGTGTTTGGGGGAACTCTGGCTGGTACCTGGCAGCGTTAAGAAAGACTAGGATAAAACTTGGAAGGTAAGATTATGAGCACTTGCATTTCATGCAACAGGTTTTCCTACCATAAGGGCTTGTTTTGATACATTTCTTTCATTCAACACCTAAGATAGTGGCTAAACCAACTTTTAGTCCCTCACCTTACAAAATTAGTAAGTTTTAGTCCCTAACCTTATAATATAACACTTTTAGCCTTTTACCTTAAAATCGATAAACTTTAACCCCTCATCTTACAAAGTTTGTAGGTTTTAACCCCTCACCTTATATTATGACACTTTTAGTCCCTTATCTGTATGAATTAAAGAAAATAACCCTTACTTAACATCATGTTATAATATTCTGTTAGTTCTATTAGTTAACTGTAAATTCTGCTAACTGATTGTAAATTCTGTTAATTAACTTTTAGTTCTGTTAACTAACTGTTAACATCCATTAGCATTCCGTTAATAGAACTAACAAATAAAATTGAATTTAAATTTAATGTTTTCAATAATGAAATGCTAACAAATATTAACAGTTAGTTAACAGAACTAATAGAACGTTATAAACTGATATTAGATGAGAGTTATTTTCTTCAATTCGTATAGGTAAAGGGTTAAAAATGTCATAATATAAGGTAAGAGGTTAAAACCTATCAATTTTGTAAGGTGAGGGATTAAAATCTACCAACTTTGTAAGATAAATGGTTAAAAGTATTATATTATAAGTTGAGAGGCTAAAACCTACTAATTTTATAAAGTAAGGGACTAAATGTTGATTTTTGCCCTAAGATAGCAACAAACTCGCTGATTTCTGCCTGCATTATTGTCTCAAATTTTTTTTCCTTTACCACGAAAAGAAATTCATTTAGAACTTCTGCTGTTCATCATCACATTACTGAAAATTTACATTTTTCATAACACATGTTCTAAGAGAGAGACCTGAGTCGTTTGATATTTTACTTAGAATAGTGCAACTTCTAAAAGTATTTAACTAGTACTCCCTTTCCAGAATATCAATAACTGTTTTACTTAAAATTTGTCTTAAATTAGATCTTCATATTTTTCAATTTTTTAATGTACTCTATTACTTTTGTCGACTTTTCAATAAAAGCTACTGATGAAAAAAAAAATAAAAAACTTTTCAATAGAATAAGTGCATAAAAACAATCTACTTGAGTGGAGTGACATAAATTTTAATTTGAGGTTGTTCACTTTTTGCAAGTAATGTATTCAAATTTTATAAATTTTTTTTTCTCTTCTCTCTCTTGATACATGTAAATAATTTTAATCTATTTAAAAAAATAAATAAATAAATAAGCACATATATTTACTGTTTTTGTATACGTATTTATTCAGTTTAAAAGCCCTCCCATCCCTTCCCCCTTCTTTTTTTCTACTAACTTCTATCCAAACAGACCTTAGTGTAGAGTAAACTTAAGCTCCTCTTGGTTTTTTGGTAGCACGATAAACTATCAACAGGGAAACTTCTTCCTCTTATATTTCAACAAAATTTGATTCTTCTTCATCATTCCTGGACAGATTAGTTCTATATTCAAATTTGTAATGTGTATGCTGTGGCATCCATAGCACTCAACATTAGATTTGTCTACTGAACTTGGTCTGAAAGTAGTGGAGTGGGATCATATGATTGAGTTTGATGGCTTCTACAGCCTATATTTCCTCTGCCTCTGCCTCCATTTGCTCTTTTTGGTTTGAAAGAGCGGTTGTCAATTGAGGCCTTCAACGCTTGCTCATCCTTATCTTGCTCAGTCGCTCACCTAATAAGCTGCAGAGCTCCTAGCTGGTTCATGAAAAGAAGCTCAATCAGCAAGATTGAAAGCCTAAATTGACAACCTCTCTTAGGCACCAAATAAAACAAGAAGTAGAGGATGACGCAGAGGTAGAGGAATTATGGGACGTAGAAGTCATCAAACTCATTCTTATGATTCTGAAGGAAGAGGGCACTTGATAAACTTGCAGAGTTCCCTCGCTGGTTCTTGGAAAGAGCCCAATCAGCAAGATAAGTATGAGCAAGCATTGAAGTTGACAGCCATTCTTGCTTTGTTTTGATATTTGATTGAAATAGGAAATACATGGAGAATATAAAGTCTAGAGGGACAAAAAAATGCAGTGCATTATTCACTAATTTATGGCCTTTAAATAGGCAAATACTCCAATGGATTTTTTTTTTTTTTTTATCTTGGCGGATACACAATGAAAAGTATCCATCTCTTATTCCTCAATGTACTCCATCCATATGTCATGTGAGTTAAATTTAAGGGTTTCTTACTTCCATAAAAGGAAATTATTGTTGGCAATACTCCAATGAAAATAAGCAAATAAAATATGCCACGAACAGACACGTAAAGCAACAAACTAACAAATGCCTAAAGAGTAAGACAACTCAACAAATATCTAAAGATCTCAAATGACTAGTTCTTCTAAGTTCTAGCACTCTTCAACCACCAAATAAGAAATCTTATCTTGTGCCCCTTGTATTCAAATATCCTAATCAATTCCATTGATTTGCATCTGCTTCAGTTCAACTCGCCTATGAGTCCTAAGTACTTTAAATGAGGACTTGAGTTTAGCTCAATCTTTAAGTGAGATATGTGGAAGGACTATGTAAGCTCAACCATACGTTCTAGCATTTTGAGGGTGTGGAACCAAATTGCATTGTTGCAATCTGAGGCGCCTTAACGTTGAATACTTGAACTTCTCTTGCATCGTATCATCAAAAGAAGATGAAAGGGAAAAACATAGAATCTACGCACGGGTTTGGTAGTCTAATATGCATGACTTTAATTTATCAAGATAAATGTAACGGGAAAAAAAAATCATCATCATCATCATCATCATCCCAGGTGTTTGGGCAACTTGACGAACTCCTACTATTGAGATCACAAACTGCTCCAACACCTAAAAAAGTCAAGGATGTTTTTCTAAGAAAGACATTCCGACACTTAAATCAATAATACTCTATAATTTAGAAAAAAGAGCTCTCAAGAAAAATTATTGAAGAGTACCCCATGTACTTTATATTAATAATAAAAAAAATTTATTTGGCTGATCAAAAAAAAAAAATTTTATTGTAGAGAGAAAAATATAGTAAAGTTATTACCTTGTATTGAGGTAATTTGAGATATTTATAGGCTCTATTAATGACAATTTTATCACACCTCTACTGGTACACTTGCCTTTAATCATATGAGTGTATCATTATTACCGCGCCTGCACTTTTGGGCCTTATATGTCTTTAGGTTTCATCCTTAATGTTAGGCCAATCCCTCGACACCAAGCATTACAATATTTCTTTTCAAACAAACATATATCATGGGGAGGATCATGTAAGATGGGGATTACCTCTTGAACAATCTCACACATTTAGAGGTAGCCTGTTCAAACGGGGAGGATCATGTAACAAAACTACGTGCTTCTGGATGATGGAAGGCAGGTTGAGAGGTTACCTGCCATTGACACGATCAGGTGACTGGTTTATGTGGCAACAAACAAGGAAGCTCTATACAGTGCCGCCTCAGGTGCTGAATTGTCAAGAGGAGCTGAACAAACAAACAGGAAAACGAGCTCCTCCTGATCAGTGCCTTGGCCCTGGAGATTGATTCAAGCAGGATTCGATGGTCCGGGCAACATGGAGGCTAAGATAGTAAGATGTTATTTTTCTTCTTCTTCTTCTTCTTCTTCTTCTTCTTCTTTTCTTTTTTTTTTCTCTCCCTACATCTGATATAAGTTGAAACCTCCAACTTAAAATCTCACTTTTTTTTTTTTCTTAGTCAAGAGACCCCTAGAGAACTCCTTTCAAGTTCTGGACTAAATGAAATTTGAAAACAAGTTAAAAGATATGGCAAAGGAAAGTGAAGCCTGGAATTGTGGCAGAAGAGCAGGATGAATGAACTCTGAATGCTGTGACAAGCTAATCTGAGCTTCATACATTTCTAGCAGAGTTTAAAACAAGAAATGTGTTTGGCAGTATTTAAGCAAATTAGGGTACCCAGTAAAAATTATAAGGAAAAATCAACTTCCTGGGAATGGCCAAAGTATGCAACTTGCTATCTTCACATGGTACGATATGAACTTACTGATGGGGATTTTCACGTTGGAAGCTCAGATTTGTAACGCTAAAAGGAGGTAGAAAAATATTTGTACAACAAAGACTAAAAGAACCAAGTTGATAACATCTTTTAATATTTACCCCACCAACAAATTAATAAGAAAAGTGCCAAGGAAATTGAAAAGCACACTGTGCAAACCAAAGACTTGATTAGTTGATAAATTCTACTGGTGCTACAGGTAACCACAGAAATCAGCTACATAATGGGGAACCCTGCTGTTCATATGCAGTTTTCTCTGCCTCCATGGAATTTGAACAAGAACAAGTTTTCATGCAAAATCACCTTCTCCATTCAGCTTTGGTAAACTTATCTGCAATTGGTGAGAACAACAATAATACAGTCAGAACGAAGAATAATCATTCAGATTCATATTTTCTGTTCTACAGAAAAACTACTCTTTTTTTTTGGGGGGGGTGGGGGATAACATGGGTATTCACACTTCAACTCTTACTTCAATCAAATAGAGGAGCAGACTTGTAAAAAAAGCAAATCTATTTTGTAAAAACAGTACAACTAGCAGGAAAGTTTGGGTGAGTAGGTGTGGGTTAAAAGTCCAACTTGAAAGAGTTAATAAAGCAGCAGTCATGGGCATGAACCCTGCATCTCCAGTCTTGATAACATACTCTAGTTTGCCCCAGAATTATAATTTGACTGTTCAATATTACAAATAACAAAGATATTTCAATCATAAGCACACAAACAGATCTAGACATGAATGAATGCAAGTAACAAGGAGATGAGTTTCCTATTATAACATATATCCAAAGATATTAAATTATTAATTGCATTGCAAATGAGAAAGACAAGGAAAGATATGAACATGATGTCCAGTCTTCTTACCACCAGCATCTCTAGATGATGAAAGAGATTTATCATTTCTCACAGCTCCTTTTCCAGCTGCTTGAACCAATCTTTGTGCACTTGGTGATAGTGAACTCAAGGCGCTATTGGTAGAAGAAGGCAGAGAATGCCGCCTGGTCACCCCATTTTTCTCTACTACATCAAGAGAAAACCTAGGGGAGCTTTGTCCTCTGAGTTTAGCCTTCGCAGATTCAGTGGATACCATATAACTTGGCACTTTTTGTGTGCTATGTACACCATTCTCTTGATTATCAATCTTTTCAGGTAAAGAAGCTCTTCTTTGGCTTGTGGTCAAGCTCTCACTGCTGATATTACCATCCTTAGAGCTTAACTCCTTGATAGTATCAGGTGTGTTCTCAACTTTAGCATTGCTTTCTGTAGGTTGTGTGTCTACAGCAAGGGAGGTGCTTGACTCTACAACAGAATCATTTCCGCTTAACAGTGTTAGGTTTTCCTCAAGATTTGATGGTTTTGATAATGCAACACTGACAACATTCCTCTTCTCAGCAGAATCTCCCTCACAAACATCTGCCACATTAGAAGCCAAACTTTTCTCTAGAGTTTGATTTGGAATCTCATTATTGATTTCTGCCCTACCAGACACTTCCTTTGTAGAGTCAGGTATTTTCCTCAAATTGCGCTTAACCTTCTCAATCTTGTTTTGTGGTTGCTCCTGAGCTTGATCAGCTGGCTTTGTTGAAACTTTCCGTGGATGGCGCTTGGGTTTTTCATGCTCTAGAGTAGCACGCCTAGAGCCAATTTCAACTTTTCCATTGGACAGTTTCCGAATGGTTTGTTTGGTCTTGCCTTGATCATTTTTTTTACGTTCATCCTTTACCTGAGACTTTGAGACAAGAATCCTGAGTGGTTGAGGAGGAGGTTCCCAAAAGCGCGATTTCATCCAGCGTTCAACCCACTCCCGAGCTGAGTTAGGTTCTCCTGGCCCATACTGAAGCCGTAGAGGCATCACAGTAGATGATGAAGATAGAAACTGCAGGTAATGGAAATGCCTAAGCACACACATAGCTTGGAACAACAGTAAAAGGAACACAATGGAACACAATCGTTTACAGCTTATATATTATAATTCTAGCCACTCAAAACAATAAAGTGGTAATTGAGTAACTGAGGTAGGGGAATAGATATTAGGCCTCTGGACTGGATAAGTAAGTGAAAACATACATGAGCAGAATGTATCTGTACTTTATAAGTAAGAACAATTTTAGATGTTATTCATAAAATATTCAGGCATAAATTACAATTTTTTAGCATTTGCTAAGCATGTCAATAACATACAGCTCTCTCCATATTAATTGTGCAAAGCAAGGCAGTTTCCAGTAAGTGACCCAATTTCATGACAACATGTCAATACAATGAAAAAATAGCAATACCTTCTGAACAAAAGCATTATGCGATAGATTCTTCACTCTAGCAGAAGCACTTAACTCATTGGATGATTTGGCACCCTGTTTAGAAAATAAAAAGGTAATTCAATAAAAGCTACTTAAAGGCATGAAATGTAGAAATTAGCTCTTCAGCAATCCATAATACACATACAAGTAGGGGTTATACAATGCTTTTATCAAACGGTTAACCTTGATCTGATAATACCTCTAAAGTTTTATAGGACCATCATTAATGTTAACCATAACATTGATAACCTTATTCTGATAGGTAATTAAATATACACATGGAAAACAACAAAAATCCAAGGCACAAACAATTAGTACCATACCATAAATCTCACTGTCAAAAATCATGAATTAGTTGGTATATAAAATTACCAGTAGTGCTCTTGGATATATTTTCTGCACTTCAATAGCAATATCTGCACGTCTGACCTTTTGGCCACGAACTACTGCCTGGAACTTAATAATTCCCCAAGCACTGCATAAAGTAGCAATAGCTTGTCTTCTGACCAAGTGACCACGAATAAGTGCTTGCAGCCTTATAATGCCCTTGAGTGTGCGAAATGCTCGGCGAGCCTTTGAGAACATCATGTTCACATCAATAACGTAAAAATAAATATAACATATCAATCCAATGGCATGAATATAAAGTTGAAATGGCAGGAAAACAATATGTAAGATGAAATCAGATTCTGAAGTTTTATAAAACTTTTAAGTAATCCAAATCAAAATTAATAATATCAATGGGCAGACCATTTTCAAATTACAATGATCTCTATAATCTAAAAAAACAAAAAAAAAAAGAGAGAGATTGTTGACAGGACACTTTTCTCAAATGGCTAACCACCAATCCATTCCCCTAAGATACCCAAAGCTTGTGAACTATAAATATCACAGCTTACGTTAGTATTCTTCTAGAGCAGGAGCAGTGTGCTGTCGGAAGATATATTCTATGTAGCACAGAAAAGGAAAGCGTACTCATTGAATTAGCCTCTTGAATGAAAAAGGTTAAATTTGTAAGGAAAGCTCAAATTCATTAAAAGGAGAAGAAAAATGAATAAAAAAATGCAAGAACTAAGAAGTAGAAGCAGCATGCAGCTGCACAATATGTTTATTTGTTTGCTTATTTTTTATAACATGGACATCTAGGCCTTTGGGCCGAATAGTCCCACTGGCACCTACAAATTGCTTTGTCCACAAGCAATAGGAAAAGCTCCACCCAAGGGTTACTCGTCATTTTGCTAAACCCAACAGATTTACACAATATGTTTATTGAATGAGGAACAATTCAAAAAGTACCATCAATCACACACTGGCACAAAGTTGCAAACTTTATAGCTCAAAATAATATATTTAATTCCCCCTAAAATCAATTTTACCTTTAAAACTAACTACTGTCATCAAGCAAAATGTATAATGCAAAATGACACAGGTTGCATGAAATTTAGAAGAGTTTCCAAACACTAACAGGGAAGTATGGTGTTAAGTAGCTTCCAGGTTTAATACATAACTTCCAGCATAAGCAATTTCAAAAGAATTAGTAAATACCAGATAGCCTCTAAAAGCAGCTTGTGCCTTTGTAGCAGCTTCCTCAAGCCTAAACTTCTCAGGAACTTCTTGGGAGCACAAATTACTGCTTGCAGCATGGTCTCCATCCTTTTCAATAGATACAGCATTAACTCCATCTTTTGGCAAGTTGGCAGATATGTCCTCAATGTTGGCTCCATTCCTGGAAATGGTTTCTGCAATAGGTGCTGAAATTGACAGAGGATCCACAGAGAAGTCTGATACTGCTACCTTAGAAGAGACCAATCCTTCTTCTTTCTCTGCAGCATACTAGACACGATAATTATAATAAAATTAGAAAGAAGAGTGTATTGTAAATAATCATTTAGACAAAATAAGTTGTCCAACTGGCCAACGGTTATCATTTAAAGTTTAAACCACGTTTTACATTCTCAGAATACCATATTAAGAAACAAATAATAGTTTCTTTCTTACCAACTTCTCTTTTCCTTTTGACAAATTAGACTTCGATGACTTCTTCCCAAGAAGCAAGCTCTTGATCCATCTCCCAGGCGATTTTCCCATCTCCTTAAACCCAAAATATAAAACCCCCAAATATCTTAATCTGGAAATCTGAAAATTTATACACAGCAAGGAGACCTCAGACATTAACACCATCCGAGTTTGCATCAATACCCGGAATGTTTAAATAAAACATTTAAACAAAACATTAATATCCCATTCCCAATGTTATATGAACCTAATATAGTACCATTAATGCATATCCTATTAAACACACATAAACAAAATGGCAGTTAAAATTCTATTAAATAACATTAAAAAAAAAAAAAAGAATGCTTAAATAATCAGTACCTACTAATTTACCATCAAAATATATAACTAAAAAAAAAATCATTTTTCCAAAAGAATAAAATCAACATCGAACTGCATAGCCACTAAAGCTGAAATCGAAAACCTAAACAATCAACGGTCACTTCCCACTTTCCATAACAGTAACACTAAACAAGAGTAATAACCAAAGTCCGAATCTACCTAATATTGAGAAAATACAAAATAAGCCAGTGTCAAGAAATCCGAACCAGAGTAAAACAAGAAAAAGAAAAAAAGAGTAAGCGATCATGTCCGTACAAGAGCCAAGCATGTCGGCGAAAGCATTAAACCTAAGCTGGATAGAACCAGCAACTAAATCTAAGCTGGATCAAGAAGCAAAAGCATCACCTGAACACGAAGCGCCTCAAAACCCTAGCAATCCACCATTACTGAAGAAGAAAATAAGCACACACAAAAAAAAAAAAAAAAAAAAAAAAGCAAACAAGCAGAAATAGAGGATATCCAGAGATCTGAAGAACAATATTTTTCAGAAAATCAAAGAAATGCTAAGAATTAAGATGAGAAATGTACCAAATCGAGCTCCACTTTTTCACTTGAATTCTTTCCTTTTTTTTCCCCTTTTTTTTTTTAAGTGCTGAACAGACTGAGCTAGAAAAACGGTCGGGGGAAATATGATGGGAACGGAATGTCTATATTTGCGCGATGGGATGGCGGAGCAGGGAAGTTACACAGAAGACGACACCGTTTGGTTTGTTGCTGAGTCCATTTCGAGTCGCGGTCAGTAAAAGATGACAGAGAAATATAGCGGTCCCTCCTTGTAGAGATATCAAACCATCGATTTACTTCGGTAACTTTTTCTTTTTTTTTTTCTATTTTTTTACAATAAAGAAACATAATTAGTAAATAAATATATGTTTAAGTATCAATCGAAAAATTAATTTAATGATTATGTGTTGTATTTTATCTTATTTTTTACATAAAGGAACGTGACTAGTTGAACCGCGTAAGGAAATGCAATTTACTTTGGTAACCTTTGTATTTTCGTGAGGTGGGGGATATTGCTTAAGAATGAAATTCTCTGTTTGGTATCCTCTCTTCTCCTTTTATATCTATCTTAATTCATTAATTTTATATAAATTAATTTAATAATGTTATATAATAAATAAATAAAAATTAAAAAAATTTTAAATTTAGGTAGAAATTTACAAAAATAATTATTTATAGAAAAAAATTTTAATTTCCATCTATTTAAAATTATCTAATTAAATTTTATACAAAAATTAAATTGAAACAACTAAATTAACCCAAAAGGTGTATGAGGATTTTAAATTAATTATTATTTCATTCATCTTAAAATAATTTACATTTTTTTAATTTTAAATTTATCTTAAATTAATTGTTATTTTTTGTTTTATTTTTTAAAAAAGTAAAATTTTTTTCTTATTTTGATTTTATCATTATTTATTTACTTTAATTATTCATTTTATCACAAAAATCTTTGTTTTTTGAAGATAATATAAACAAACACATAAATTGTCTCAAAATGTTTAATTTGAAAAAAAAAAAAAAGTCCAATAGAATTGTTATTTTAAAGGATAGCACATGTATGAACAATTTTTTTATATAATTTTCAACCATATGTTATTGAATGAGTAAATGTACTCAATATCACAGGTTCTAAATAAATAAAAAAATTATTTATTTAAATAAATATAAAGTCATACTAAAAAATAATTAAAAAAGTTATCCTTCAATTATTTTTCTATTTTAAAATCAAAAGAGTACTGATTTTGTTTAATTTAAAACTTAATAATTATTACTGTTAATAATTAAAATTTTTT